ATTCCAATTTCAAATCCTGTGTCCTGTTGCCAGACCATAAGTCAGTCCATGTATCCTGGGGCTTTTAGTTCTAAAAATTCTCATCATAATGTCATATGGTTCTAATTGTACTTATAAGAGTTTTTTATTAAAAACCTTTCCACTATAAAAATAATATAATCATAGTATTAAAATTCTGCAAAACTAGGAAGAAAAACATAGCACCCATAATACCACCATCCTGCTGTATAGTTATATATACCAGTGTATAATTTCCCAGCATATTACCAAAATAAATACACAATTTTATATTCTGATTTCTCCAACCAACATTACATTTTTTAAAAAAACATTGCTAATAAACATTTTTAAAGCATGTATTTTAATGAAAGGGTAATATTTCATTCAGAAGATTACTAAAATACATTAATCATATTTATATTTGTTTATAATTTCACTAATGTTAATAAATCCACAATATATACCATTGTAATACATCTTCTATATTTTTAATTTTTCTTTAGTTTAGTTTTTACAAGTTGAATTCCAGGCTCAGAGTATGAATATGCTAATGACTCTCAATACATACTGCAAATTGCTTCCCAAAAGAGTTGAGCTAACATACACAGCCATCAGCAATGCATGAGGGTGTCTGTTCCACGTCATCACCACCAACAAACCGATGTGTTGAGGTGAAGTTTTGGAACGATTCTCATGATAGTTTCATTGAGTAACGGCCCCCTGTTTTAGAAGGGAAAGTACAGGTACAAAATGGATTATAAACAGATGATATACTGACGATGGTAAACTGACAAAGGTTATCTTTTAAGCCAGATGAGCAGGAAAAAATAAAAAGCACTTAAATGATGCTCTAAACCACAATTTCCAATGATGTGTCTGAGGACTGCTAGGAAATAAAACTATGGCAGGCAAATAAACGGCATGCAGCAATCCCAATTAGGGGAGCTTTTTCAGAAGAAAAGTCTTTTGGTGGATTTGAGTCTGAAGCCAAACTCCAAACAGCTCCAGGCACACTGCCTCATACGAAGGGTCTGATTTCTATGTAAATACCTTGGAAAGCATTGTTGCCAAACACTGGTCTTTTCAACGCTACTTATGGATGTAACATATGGGAACGACTCTATTATTTTCTAATACAACAATAAATAGTGGCTAGATACAACTAAACAGCAATTCATTGACAAAGGGAAGGGGAAAATAATATTTACAGGGTACCTACAAAGAGCCAGGCCCTTCACATTGGATTTGTCCATTTAATGGGCTTGGATCCAATGTGCCGGCCCTTCAGCCTCACTTGGCAGCTCTGAAAACCATATTCCAGGGGTGCAGAGTGACTGAGCTGGGGCTTCTTGGCTGGGGCTCCCCAGGCTCAGGCACTGCACCTCTAAAATGATAGAAGGGTATTTACTAAGTACTAGGCTAATAGGCTAACTGCCGATGCATGGCCAGTGGTTGATGTTCACCCTCTTTACTGGATGGTTCTTGCATTTAGATGCTAATCTCTCTGAAAATTACTGCAGCTTTTAATAGTAAGCATTATGGTTTACATTCTGGATTTTAGCAACTTATTGTGAGGTTCTTAGTATATCTGCATGACACCCTGGAAAAACTGACCAGTTCTTAGTAGGTAAAAATATTATGAAATGTGGCCATTTGAAAGATTTTCAAGGTAAATTTCTGATAACTGTGACTAATCTTAGTCAAATAAAAGTTTGGAAATCATGTGGGCAGGAGAGCCTGGGCTCCCAGATCTGCAACTTGCTAGTCCTGCCTTCCTTAGCCTGTTTCCTCATCTGTAAATGGGGCAGAATAATATATACTTATTATTATTTGAGAAAACATATCTAATGTAGTCAGCACAATACCTGACATACCATAAATGCTCAATAAATATTATCTATGTTTATTATTATTGTTTTACATGATGATGATGATGGAGCCCATCAGATGAAAGCACAGGATAAGCAGGGATGTTTAATCCCTTAGACTCTGATACAATCAAATCATTAAACTATTTTTGCTAAAAAGCTAAATTCCTCTTGATTAGGGAGGTGAAATTGACTATATCTTTAAGTATAAAAAATATACATTCCTGGGAATTTCCTGGCAGTCCAGTGGTTAGGACTCCACACTTTCACTGCTAAGGGCTTGGGTTCAATCCCGGGTCGGGGAACTAAGATCCTGCAAGCCATGCGGCGCGGCCAAAGATGATAATAATAATAAATATGCATTCCTGAGGTCTCCTCATGAGTGTCTTTACCTTCAGTCTTTTTTTTTTTTTTTAAGTGTCTGGTACTTCGTAGATGCTCAATTATACTTGTTGAATAGAGATTAATTTTTTTAATTGGGGTATAATTGACATACTACATTGTATTACTTTTAGGTGTATAACATAATGATTCGATATTTATATCCTGTCAATCCCTGAACAACTCAGGGGTTAGGGGTAACACACCCTGGCATTCAAAGATCGGTGTAGAACTTTACAATTGGCCCTCCGTATCCACAACTGCACATTCGCAGATTCAACCAACTGAGGTTGTTTTAGTACTGTAGTATTTACTATTGAAAAATTCCGCCTATAAGTAGACCCGCACAGTCCAACCCCGTGTAATTGAAGGGGAAGCAGCATAATGCAAATTGATCACCACAATAAGTCTACTTAATACCTGTCACCACACAGTTACAACACTTTGTTTCTTGTGATGAGAGCTTTCAAGATGTACTCTCTTAGGAACTTCAAATGTGCAGTACAGTACGTTTAACTACAGCCACCATGTTATACATTATATCCCCATAACTTATTTATTTTATAACTGGAAGCTGTGAGCCCCTTCACCCATTTCACCCACCCCACACACACACCATGCCTCCAACAACCCATGCCTCACCTCTGACAACCACCAGTCTGTCCTCTGTACGTAGGAGCTTGGTTTGCGGGTTTGGGGTTTGGGGGTTTTTTTTAGATTCCACATATGTGAGATCATACAGTATTGGTTTTCCTCTGTCTGATTTACCTCACTTAGCCTAACACCCTCAAAGTCCATCCACATTGTTGCAAATTCTTTGCCTTCAGTCTTAACCCTCTCAAACTCACCACTCACCCTGCTGCCAACGTGATATTCATACAAGAAAACCTGATCATGTCTCTTCCCTAACCCTCTCCACAGCCCAAGTGTCTTGGGCTGACAGACAAGGCCATCTAGGACCAAGTCTCTGGTCATTTTCCAGCCTCCTCTCCTGAGACTTCCTGTCTTGATATATGTTTCCTGGTTTTATGAAAATGCTTGCCTCACTACCTTTACTCATGCTATTCCCTCTGCTTGGAACACCCTTCCATCTCTTCTTCACCTGCTCTATTCCTACTCATTCTTCAGGGCTAATTCCTATTTTTTGTAAAAAAAATGCCAAAAGAAAAGTTTGCATATGAATTGCATGTTGATGTATAGAAAGAAGTCAAAATATTTGAAAATACAAACTGTTAGAAGTAGTTATCTGTAATAATTTTCTTCCTTATAAGAAAATATTTTAAAATGTTGAAAATATTTTAAAGAAAGTTTAGGTGTCGCCACTTCCCAAATGTTCCCTGACCCTGAGGTTCCCTGACCCTGTGAGGTTTCCTTGGTGTTCCCACAGAACTCCTGAAATGCCTCGAATGGAGAACACATCACACCATGTTGAGATGATCCCTTTCTCAGTAGGACAAGGGCTATCTTTTTGCCTTTGTAGCAAGTGCCTAGCATAGTGCCAGGCACACGGTGGGCACTCAATAGATGCTTGTTGAACCAACCCGAATTGCCCTTGTTCACACCTAGTGAGCAGCTAGCAGATCCTGTTCAGATCTGTGGGCAGAGCCTGGCCACACATTTGTAAGAGGCAAACCCCGGAGCAGAGCCATTTTTCTGTGTCTGCCATTCCCAGTCACTCTGTCAGGAGCCGTGGGTGCCTTTTCCCAGTTTTTGCACTTCCATTTTTTCTAACTATAGAAGTAATACAGTCTCACTATAAAAATAAAAATTTGGAAAGCATATACTGCAATAAAGTAAGAAAAAAAAAACATCTATTCAGTCCAAATACCTACTATTTTTTAACCAGAATTATTTAAATCAATGTTTTTCAATTTTCTTTTCCCATTTCCTGGCACATATATAACTTCTAAATTTTCCCAGCACTGGTCCAGTTAGGAAATGGAGGGAGTCTATGCCCACACATGAAAATTTGTAGGGGGCAATAGTGCATATAAAAGATTTTTAATAATCTTTGTATAAACCATGTTTAATGTGTTGGGGTTTCTTCATCTCCTAATAAGTTTAAGGCACCTAGGGAGAGAAACTTTGCCTCTGAAATGACAACAGATCTCTCATCTGTGAATCCTGGTAACTAGGTGTGAAGAAGCTACTTTTGGTATTCAAGATAACCCAGAGGCAAGGAAAAGCTGATCACTCTTGGAGGAAGCATAAACATATCATTCCAAGATAACTGAGTCATATATAAAGTCAGGGAGAGCCTCCTCCATAGAATAAGGGGAGTAGCAGCAGGATGTCCTTCTTGACCCCCAAGGGTCATCAGAGAGAATATCCAGGGAAGGACACTACTCACAGGCCAAAACATCACCTAGGCAGAGTCAGTCTCTCTCTCTCCCTGTCTCTCTCTCTGAGATGTTAACACTCCTATGGATCCAGCATAGAAAGATCTTCCTCCCTCCTGATTCTGCAATTACTGTTCCACCTCAGAGACTGGGGGACATTGTGGGGCTTCTAATAATGTGGTTATTGTTTAATTAAGCTTCTTCCTAAACCTTATGTAGAAGTACTGGGCCCATACTATGTCCTGGGGGGGCGCTGACTAGCTACCTAGCAGGGGACTGAAGCTAAACAAAGCATGACAAATTCTCTCAAGCTAACCTGCACCTTCATGCTTCAAAAAAGGTTACAGTTTGCCCACGTGTTTGGGAACTATTAACACAGCTACTTTAAATTGCAATGATACATAGTAGATCATACCTTTTGAAAGCAGTGAAGACAGGTTTGACACAATGATGGTCATTTGTGGAGCCCGTACTCTGTGTCAGGTGCTCTGTATTTATTCTTTCTGATCCTTAGTGACCTGGCAAGGTAGGATTATTATTACACTTTAAGGTAATTTTGCTCATTTTACAGACGAGGAAACTAAGACCCAGAAAGGTTAACGCTCCGTTGATTAGTGGCAGAGCTAGGATTCAAACTCAGTCCTGTTTGCCTCCAAAGTCCCCTCCCTTCCTACTTGGTCTCCTTTGATCCTGGCTGTGCCATGGGTGTCAGTCATCATTGGGTAGGTTCTGCTGGGGGAAGGACTAAGTAGGAACTGAACTCAGATAGCACTGTCAAACCTCACAGCACTGGCAGGATGTGACAAGGACTCCAGACTGCTTCCTGGGGTAGTTTCTCGGCAGAATATTTAGGAGGGAGAACAGAGTAATAACCTCAGCTATTACAGCACTTCGCCATGATGGTGGAGGGTTCTAAAGGCCCCAGAAGAGACCTGAGAGGGCCTGGAAACTCCTCGAGTGTGGAGATCTTACATGGAACACTTTGCTTTCTAGAAAGGGTAAGATGGGTGTGGCAAGAGTGCCGGCAGACACCAGCCCTGCCAGCCCATGAAAGGAAGCCAGATTCAGTTGCTAAAGAAGCTTAGAGAAGCTTGAGCAATGGGAGCTGGGGTCATGGAAAGTTGAGAGGAATATCCCCTTAGCATGCGTAAGGGCTGTTAGACTTAGGAAATAAAAATACAGGATGCCCAGTTAAATTTGAATTTCAGAAAAACAACAAAATATTGTTTAGTATAAATATGTCCCAGGCACCATTTTATCTGGAAACCCTAGCCGAGCTGAGCTTGAGTAGAAAGAGTTCCCTCTATGAGGGGACAGTGTGTCCAGGATGGGTCTTGCTGTTGGTGGATGTCAGTGTTGGAAGTGGTGTTGGGGAAACTTACTGTCTCAACAGGGAGCCATATGAGCCCTAAGCCAGCCTAGGGTAGGACAAGCCATCTAAGAATATAGCGGATGTGCATGGATTTTTAGACTGAGGTGACTTAGAAATTTTCCTTTCCAGGTAAAGACTTCATACTTAAGGTTTGATAACATATGTTCCATAATTTTTAAAAAATATTTCTTTATTTATTTGGCTGTGCTGGGTCTTAGTTGTGCCATGTGGGATCTTCGTTGCCACGTGTAGGATCTTTTTAGTCGTGGTACGCAGGATCTTTAGTTGCAGTGTGCACTTAGTTGCGGCATATGGGATCTTGTTCCCTGCCCAGGGATCGAAGCCGAACCCCCTGCATTGGGAGCGTGAAGTCTCAGCCACTGGATCACCAGGGAAGTCCCCATGTGTTCCATAATTTAAATTTTAATATAATTGGGAAAAAATAGTCTATTAAAAAGAAAAAAATCTTAATATACTAGGGATAAGTTAACTTGTCTGGTATTTGAGGTATTCTTATAAATGCTAGGAGTGAGAAAGGGGATTATAGAAGAAAGAATTTACTCTTTTTTTGATACTAGAAAAGGGGAACACCACTGCTTGAACCATTAAAAAATGGTACCAGGCAGTTCAGGGCTCCCTGGTAATTCAAGTCCTTGTTCTTCTGACAGGCAAGCTCTGCAGAGTAGAATATTCTGTCTGTCAAAGGAAGCATAACTCCTCTTTTTCCCAGAGGAGAAGGTAGTACTTTTTTTTTTTTTTTTTTTTTTTTGGCTGCGTTGGGTCTTTGTTGCTGCACATGGGCTTTCTCTAGTTGCAGCGAGCAGGGGCTACTCTTCATTGTGATGCACAGGCTTCTCATTGCGGTGGCTTCTCTTGTTGAGGAGCACGGGCTCTAGGTGCGTGGGCTTCAGGAGTTGTGGCGCATGGGCTTAGTTGCTCTGTGGTATGTGGGATCTTCCCGGACCAGGGATCAAACCTGTGTCCCCTGCATTGGCAGGCGGATTTTTAACCACGGCGTCACTGGGGAGGTCCCAAAGGCAGTATACTTCTTGAACCTTACTTTTCTTTGAACTTGGACAATTAATCCAGTTCTTGGAAAAGGGGGGATTTTTTAAAAAGAGAGAATCCTCTTTTTTTTAAAGGCTTTTTTATGAAATAGAATTTTCTCACCTGTTTATTAATACTTAGCAAGTGTCAAGATCATTATATTAGAATGTTGGAGTTTGAAGGAAGGGGTTGGGGAGTGTCTCAAAGGCTGTCTAATGTCCAACAAGCTTCACCAGGTGCCATTTATATGTATGAATTCACAATGGTTCAAAGGCCTGGCTCTGGGCCTTGTGGTCTTAGAAACCACTTAACCTCTTGGCCGTCCTTCTTCAGGGCAGACCTACACCAACTCACTTCACCAAGACTGATGTAGAACTGGGACACCCATTTATTCATTTACAAAGAAATGTTGACAATCTCTAGGATACTGGGGAGGGCACCTCCAATCTACATAAGGAGCCCAACTACAATCCCAAGGCTGCCTGGTGAGCAGAAAATAATGATAATAGATGCCATTAGTCATTTAATGAGTGTTCAAAATTTATAAAACATTAATAGTGACAGTTAGCCCTGGTCAAAAGCACATTCATCCTCACAACTTCACCATGAGAAAAATATTTACCTTCCTTATACTGATGAGAATACAGAGAAAGATATCACAGCTCATTAACTCTAAGAGGTACATTTTTTCAGATGTGAGTATCCTGCAAACAAAATACATTTAAAAATTGGTTATAAAACTCTATAAACTATGGTCACTTTTTGTTTATTTATCCACCAAATAGTTATTAAGTGTCCAGCATGGACTGGGTACTATGCAAGTTGACAGGGACAGAACAGTGTATAAAATGTCAAGGTCCTTGCTCTCATCAAGTTTACAGTCTAGTTGGGGAGACCACTAATCAGCAAATGAATCAAAACATCAGGTTGTGAGAACTGCTGATGGAAATAAGCATGGAAATGTGACCGAGTATAACATGAGGGGTGGGGGGCAAGGAAGACAGGGTGGCTCTCTGAGGGGTGACATTGAACTGAGACCTCACAGTCATCCAGTGGTCTTCACTTTGGGCTACGTAGGTACCAGGAGATAGGTCCTCTCAGCCCTATGGCCCAGGGATCCTGGCTGTAAGCAGCCCCTTCCGAGGCTCCTTGGAGGGCAGCCTGAGAGGCATGGGTCTGACCTGTGCCCCATGGTTGGCACAGAGCTGAGCAGATAAGTGGTGCCCACGACCCACTGTTCCATGTGATATGCTGAGCACAGCCCAGAAGGTGCTCTAGCCCCTCATGCTTGCTTTAGTTCTGCGGCAGGGAACACTGCCCATCATGGACAAGGAGACATAGGAATACCATGCCAGGTGCCCAGGGAGTGTTGGTGTAGCCCAAAATGCAGCCAGTCGGGGCTGGGGACAAGGAGGCTGAACAGGGCTGCTGGTGCAGATTTGAACTTCTGTTCTCCTACCAGGTACTTCTCACTATTTTAGACTCTTTTTGGTGGTGACCAAGGCACCTACAGGGTGACTGCTTAGCAACATGTGCATTTTGCAAATTTGAGCTGTATCATAATTTTAAAATACTTGACCTTTAAAAAGTTTAATTAGATTCAAAATCCATTCACAAGAAATTCCAAGTTTACATTTGTCAATGAAAGAAAGGCAAGAATTTTAAATATATAACTTCAACAGTTACACTTTTTTGAATGACTGAAAACAATTATTTTGAAGTTTTTCAGTAAGATCATCAAGAATTTGAAGAGCTCTTCATCCTAAAATCTTGATCAGGAATGGCACGTGGCCATTTCAAGTATAAAACCTGATATAAAAAATTATGCTCATGGATGTAAGCTCAACATTTCCCATTAAAAACTTTGAAAACGTTTTATTTGGGAGTTTTACACAAGTTTGAGATGTATTATCTTCTTTAAAATGTAATCTAAAAAATGTAATTATTTTCTTTCATAGTGATTATGTAATATAAAAATGTATAACGAAAGTTTTAATCAAGTTCTATTTGAATCGCTCCAAATCCCCTTCACTTTTCCTCAGTGTACCGTACAAAGAGGATCTTTTTCTAAGAGACATGGAAAAGTGGAAAAGCTGCCTTAGAAGATGAGGGAGCCAGCCCTGTGAAAAGCTTGGGGAGAGCATTCAAGCTGCGAAACACAGTGAAATGACCCTCAGGAGGGAAGAGCTTGAAAGGTAAGGTAGCAGGGCTGGAGCAGAATACCACTGGAGAGGGCAGAAGTGATGCTAGGCCTTGCATTTAACCAAAAGCAGTGGGAGGCCTCTGAATGCATTTACACAAGGGTATGACTTAATCTGATTTACATTCTATAAATCTAATCTCTGCATGCACTGTAGAGAATGGAATACAGAGGTGCAAGAGTGGAAAGAGAAAGGTCATATAGGAAGTAACTGAGGGCCAGCTGAGAGGTGAGGAGAGGAGGAAAGGAGTAGGTCATTCTGAGAAGCTTTTCATAGGTAGGACCAATAGGACTATGGGAATGAAAGAAAGGGAGGCTTAAGTAGGATGCCTACACTTTTCGGTTTAAGCAGTTAAGTAAATCATAATGCCATTTACTGGGCAACACTGAAGGAGGGACAGTTATGGAAAGAGGACACTGGGATCCAAAGTCTCAGGACATAGTTTTCAACAAAGGGCAAATAGAATCATAGACGATAAGAGATTTAATGGGCATATGAATCATTAATCAATGATTACAATACATACTGAAATATCTACAGGTAAAATGATGTAAAGCCTGCAATTTGCTTCAAAATCATTTGAGTGGGGGGAGGTAGGAAGAATGAGTACAGGCGTAGATGAAACACAAGATTGGGCATGAGTAGATCATCTTTGAAGCTAGCTGATGGGTACCTAGAGGTTCATCATACTACTCTCCTTTTGCGTATGTTTGACAATTCCATGGGACTGGATGAGATCACCTAATATTCAACAAATGGGGACAGCCCCACACTGGCAGGGGTGGGGGGAGTGGAGTAGAGGTGGCAGTGCTAGTGCAGTGGAAAGAAAGAGATAAGACCACTGCTGTCCTAGAGTTGACATTCTCTGGGGAAGAGACATAACAAGCAAGTAAACAAATATGACAGATTTAAATCAATGTGATAAAGAGGAAGGGTGATGTGATAAAGTGTGCATGCAACTGAGTGGCCAGAAGCAACAGCTCCTTGAGGCAGTAATCTTTGCATTGGACTGATTCACAAGCTAAACAGATATCAATAGTGGTGTTTTTAAAGTCCTTTCCATTCTACTTTTTAAACTTTTACTCATAAACAAATCTGAATTAGTGACCATAAGATTTCTACTCTAGGGAAAATGTTTTAACTTAAAAGCTTTTGCTCCCCTCCTCTCCACTGTTTTTTTTTTTTTTTTCCTCTCTCTTTTTTTCTTTTAAAATTCATTTGGCTGCACTGGGTCTTAGTTGCAGCATGCGGGATCTTTAGTTGCAGCATGCAGGATCTAGTTCCCTGACCAGGGATCGAACCCAGGCCCCCTGCATTGGGAGCATGGAGCCTTAACCACTGGACCACCAGGGAAGTCCCTCCATTGTTTTTTAAACTCCAAATTTTGAAGCCATTATTAGCCCAAGAGTTCTAGAAGTAAAGCCAATTCAGGACTGACCCTGGTACCCCCTTTAGAATCCCTTTTTGCCCTGACAGCTTTCCTTCCCCCATCATCTGACTCTAAAGTGCTCTTCTCCCCTCAGCTACAGTTTTTGCCAATCTTAGGACTCCAAAGGATGTCTTTCCTTCCCTCTTCCAAGTGCTACTTCCCTGTGCAAAGCAATGCTTCCAGAGATTATAAGCCCCATGAGGGCTTGTGTTGTTTGTTCACTGCTGTCTTCCAGCACCCAGAACTATGCCAAGCACAGTTGGCACCCAATAAATATTCACTCAGTGAGAAAACTTCCAGAAGCCACTAGGTAGATAACCAGGCACCTACCTAGGTGCTAAACGTACTTGATCCTACAACTAGAAAAAACTTGTGGCCTATCTTCACACAGATAAATATCACTTCTATTTTACATATGGACAGCTGAGTAGGTTCAGATAATCCAAGATCAGAACTATTTCACCTAAAACAGTCTTTCCTGTCCTTAAAAATATTTTGAAGACAAAAAATAGAAGCTATGGAAAAATCTAGCATATAAAGAAAACGTTACCAGTGTCATTTAACATTTCTTGAAGATATGATGAGTTTAATTGATGTACAACAGCCTTCCTGGAAAAATCCTGGAAAAAAACCCAACAAATATTTTGGTTTCCTCAAAACAAAACAAAAAACAAGCAAAGAAACCTCTTCTTGGCCCGAATTATAGAAAGTCTTCGCTGGCAGCTCAGCCTAAGCTCTTTTGCATACGTGCTTTTAGGAGAGGCTTGCAGATTGCATGTATTCTGCAGAGCAACCACACACACTTAACATTCATTAAATAATAATGAAACAGGAGGCCTGGATTTTTTTTGGTTTCTCCTGGGTCTCTTCATCACTCAAGTGTCCTTGGACAAATCTACTCCCTCTCTCATATCTGATTTCCATATATCCGTTTCAGGATAACCTTTCATATCTGATTTCCATATATCCGTTTCAGGATAATGTTTATGACTAAGATGCTTTATAAGATCTTCAGACTACCAGTAGTAGTTATGCCCTCCATCTATGAAATTTATCTCCTTCACTATCCTATGGGATGTCTTCATGACACTTCTATTGAAAACCCTCACACATAGTTGCGAGTGCTGTCAAAACCATCTAGGGAGGTACAGATAGTCTAAGGCCAATGAGCTGACAACGTGGATGACTTGAACCTGAAGTCTGTTTCCTATGCTACTGAGAATTGGAAAATGGATAAATGTGATAATCCCCAAACCACGTTTTCCTTATTTCTGCCGTTTTCCGCCGCATCTAAACTATGCAGAAGCTGCTGACAACACTTGACTATCCAGTATTTGGCAATTCTACCGAATACTGAAAAGGTTAAAAGGCCGAACTTGCTAGTAGGACAAGCTGCCAGGACTGGTAGTCAGGCTCTGGTGCAGTTAGCTGTGTATTCCACACATTGTTTTAGAGGCTTACAAAATACAGCCATCTTGCATCAGGCATCCCGGCCCAGGAAGAAGGCGAGCCCCGGCCCCTCGGCCCTGGAGATGCCACCTGCGCGGGGCCGGGCGTCCTAGGTGGCAGAGCCCTTGCGGACTGCCTACAGCCCGCACCGCGGGGCCCGCCACGGCCCGGGCCGGTGTGTTGAGCGACTAAAGTTGTCTACGGGCGGGCCGACCGCACCTGGCCCGGAGAGAGAGCGTGAAGACTGCAGTCCGGCAGCCCTGCCAGCGGCTAGAGCAGCCCCATCCGAAAGTGGACGCGGGACGCTAGGCTGCTATTTGCTTCCGGTTGGGTAGTGTTTTCAACTGGGGTGCACCGACCCGACCGGCGGTGCCCTTCTCCCCGCCCCCGGGGCGCCTCGGGGACGCGCGCCTGGGCCCGCGCCGGAGCGGGGCGCCCCCTCCCTCGCCCTCCCCGCCGCGGCCTGAGACGCCCGCAGGCCGGGTGTTCACCGACCGCGCCTCCTCCCGCCCGCCCCTCCCCCCTCACTTCCCCCTCGGCGCCCCAAACCCGGGCTTCCCGAGTGCCAAGACGTGTGCGCACGGAGCAGGGTGGGAGTGCGGGGCCGGAGAGCCGGAGTTAAAACGGGGGCGGGCGGGCGGCCGTCTCGGCCGGAGCCGGCGGCCCTTCGGCGTGTCTTTTGTGTTTGTACACACACTGCGCGAGGCGGCCGGGAGGAGGGAGCGGGCGGCGCGCGGGGGAGGGGCGAGCGCGCGCCAGCGAACGGGCGCGCGGGGGGAGGGGCGGAGGCGGGGCGCGAGCGCGGGGCGGGGGCGGGGCCGAGCCTTCCCTCCATTGTGTGTGATTGGTTGGCGCGCGGCGCGGGGGCGGGGCGGCGTGTGTTGGGGGATAGCCTCGGTGTCAGCCATCTTTCAATTGTGTTCGCTGCCGCCGCCGCGCCGCTGTCGCTCTCCGACGCCAGCGCCGCCTCTAGCTCGCTGAGCTCCAGCCGAAGGAGAAGGGGGGTAAGTTTCCCCGTCTGCCCGCTTCCCCGGAACCGAGCCCCGCTTGCCGTCAACCCCGGGCCGGGCCCCGGCGGTGCGGTGAGGGGACCCAGGGTCCCTCCGGCTTGGCCCACAAACTTTTTGGCCCAGAAATGGAGGTGAGGAGCGAGTTTCCCTCACCCCTCAGGCGACGGCGGCTCCGGCGGCTCCCCAGTCTCTCGCCGCCTCAGCCCAACAGCAGCAACCGCCGCGTCGCCGAGCCTGCTCTCCCTCCCCGCGCCCCTGGCTCCTCTTTCTTCGGTGAAATCCCGCCCGCCGCCCCTTCCCGGGACCCCAGACCTTCACCACGACCCGCGCGGGCCTCTTAACTACCGCCCCCGGACCCCGGACCCCAGTTTTCGAGCGGGAAAAGGGTGGAAATCGCCGCTGCTTCCCACCCTGGGGTAACTCGCTTTTTGCTGCCTCCCCACAGTTGTTGCTAAGCTTCACCATCTTGTCTCTCTTCTCTGGTCACCGACCATATTTTTTCCCCCGTTTCTCTCTTCCCCATTTGAAAAAGGAGGAAAATTTTTTAAAGAGAAAAATTTTTTTCTCCTTTTTTAGAGAAGCGGAAACTTGATGCATTTGAAATGCACAAAAAAAACTTTTGCATTTTGGAGGGCGGCACGTGGCAGGGGATCGGGCTATTTTCGAGCGATTTGGTGTTTTGTCTCTCTGGTAGGGAATCGGATACGTTTTGCGATTGTTTCCATTTTGTTCTGGTCTGGGAGCCGAGTTTGTGCCTGCGCGAGACGCTGGGAGCGAGGCGGGCAGGCTGGGGGACCCTGTGCCGAGGGGCCGGAGGAGGCGAAACCAAAAGTTTATGTGGTGCTTGGGGTGGACTGGTCGGCCGGTCCCGTGCGTTAATTAAAGCCTGGGTGCGGGGCACTTTTTTTTTTTAATTTCACTGCGAAGCTTCTGAGGACTGGACGCCAGGACGGTGCTTTGTAGAATGCTCGCTGGTGGTAGCTGTTGTTCCTCTCTTGTTTTTTGAGACGCCTTTTTGTCAACAGAACTGTAGAGATGCAGAAGCAGGAATGTTTTCAGATATTTACAGCAGTCTATCAACTGCCAGACGTAAAGTGGGGGGACGGCGGGCGGGGGTGACCAAAACCTTTTTTGCTGTAATTTGACTCGACCTTTCTGTGGTTTGTGGCTTCGTTCTTTTGACTTGTTAGTGGATCGAATATTTACAGACGTTTCTAATTTCTACTTTAATTAAAGAAACTGAAGTGAAGGCTGTCAGGGGTCTTTTTGTTTTGCCGTTTATCGCTCAGATTTGGCATTTTTGAGAGATGATTGGTGTTAACGCTAACAATTTTCTAGTACTACAGTTTGTTTCAGGAAGTCATATTTGGGTGGTAGACGTAATCTGCACACTTTAAAATTATGTAACATTACAGACATTATTTTTTTATACTGATCATAATTTCCAGATTTTTTTGGGGGGGAGCGGTGGTAATGGCAGGAAAACTTGTATGTTTGTTAGTTGCATATGGTGATTTTTGTGTTTTGATGCTGGTAGGTAAGTAAGGAGGTCTTTATACCATGGCTCGTACAAAGCAGACTGCCCGCAAATCCACCGGTGGTAAAGCACCGAGGAAGCAACTGGCTACGAAAGCCGCTCGCAAGAGTGCGCCCTCTACTGGAGGGGTGAAGAAACCTCATCGTTACAGGTATTAAAACAAGAGGAGGGAAAAAATGGGACAAAGCCTATCTCCCGAAGCAGTATCTATATAATTTAGTAAAAAGATGTATAATTATACTTTTTGCTTTAGAGAAACTAATAATTTTTCCTTTTGAATATTTACTAATACTTTAAAATATATATATATATAATTTAGTGTTAGGTTTTATTGGGAACATGTTTAATTTTGAAGCCATGATCTTGCCCATAGCCCAGAGGAGAGGTTGTATCACTAATAACGTTAATGGGATAGGGTAACATTTTATTTAGCTGTTAGGTGTATTGTATATTTTTTAAATAGTAAATACATTTTTAAATACATTTTTGAGGATACTCTTTCTCTTGGTAAAGTAATTTAATCAAGATTGGGGGTCATTTTGTTTTAGGTAAGTCCTTCATTTACTTGAATTGGTTTATTTCCTTCTGTTAGCACAGTTTTGAACTACCCTGAGCAGTGTTGTTAAGGGCATCTGCCATTAGAGGGCAGAAGTTGTCTGTATTTAGGTGCCTTCTGCAAATGATTTTAGTTAGCCTAAAATAAAAGTGGAAGAAATAAGTCAGAATTGAGGTAAATTTCTTGCTTAAAATTAGTTTTAAAAAGAAAGAAAGAAAGAAAACTTCCATATAGAAGATACACCATAAAAGAGTATTCACATTTAATCATTCATGAGGGATGTGCAGTGTTCAAAGGTATTCTGGGAAATCAAACTTAAATGCCATAAGTGTATTTTTTAAAGGAAGCTCATTGGGTTGTGCTGGTAGGTCTTTTAGAAGAATTGGGGGTGCCAGTGGGAAGAAGGAGAGTGCTGCCAAATTGAGAGGAGTCTGAACAATTTTGACCTCTTTATTTGTGATCTAGTACTTTCCCAAGTTGTAATTATAACAAGTTAGTTATATACATGTTAAAGAGGAAGAAAATAAGGGGACTTTGATTAAATCCCCCTGCCAGGAATCTACTTTAATATCATGCTTTTTGCTTTAAAGGATTGTTGTGTTACTCTTAACAGACTTGAATATTCGGGTCATAATTTAATAAGTGAAATTTGATACAGAAGCTGAAGAATAGTTGGGTGATTTATTTTGTGAAAAGTGACTGCGTCTTTTTAAAGCTGATGACCACTCTTTTATGTTTTTTATGTATTTGGTAACCGTGTCTTTATTGTGTTTTGTTTTAAAGGCCTGGTACCGTGGCACTCCGTGAAATTAGACGTTATCAGAAGTCCACTGAACTTCTGATTCGCAAACTTCCCTTCCAGCGTCTGGTGCGGGAAATTGCTCAGGACTTCAAAACAGATCTGCGCTTCCAGAGTGCAGCTATTGGTGCTTTGCAGGTAAAATGGCGGGTGGGAAAGGCTCTAAGAGTTGGCCGTTCCTGCTTTGTACCAAGAACAATTCTAAATCTTTGTATATGCTTGTTAAATTTAATCATCACGAGTGGATGAGGTAGGTCTTATCTATTTCACTGTTAAGATGTCAGAAAGGTTAAGTTGCTCAAGGTCATACAAGCAGACATAGGATTTTAAAATTTTAGACGTTGCAGTGTTTAAAGGGAAAAAGAACCTTCTGGTTTGGCTTACAGTTGCTGCAGGACATCAGGAAGTCATGGGGCTAAAGGTTATTGGTAATTAGTTTCAAACAGTGACTGATATAAAAAGAATGTTAGAATAAATGGCTTCCTGGGCCTGAAGAGGCAGTTGCAAGTGGAGAGAACATAATATCTGGGATGGGAACAGGCAGCATAAAAGAACTGTGCATTGAGGTAAAAGAAGCATGAGTGGTAGTTAGGATTAGGTTGACGATAAGGAGAAAAAGATACTAGGCTTGTAAAAAGAAATTGGAAGACTTGTAGTTTGCTAAAGGGGATTATGTATGGATTTCCACTTAAGTGGGAAACATAGTGAATTTATTCTTAGCTCCAGTGTGTCAGAACTTTGAGAAGTACTGTTTTAGCTGTGGTTATCTATTTGAAATACTGGTGGTTTGTGCCAAGATTAAAATTTGAAATGCCCACAAGTAAGATATTTGATTAGGTATGTGGGTATAATTAACATCAGTCACTTAAGTAACCTATAATGTTAACGAGTTTGGCGTTCGTTGTAACTCAGAGTATGGTAAGACTGCCACCTCCTTCAGAGCGTGGGGTTAGAGGTGATTAAAATTGCAGATTGCTAGGCACCTCCACAAACCTGAATCGGAATCTCTTTTGGGGGAGGGTCCAGAATCTACATACACTGCATTGGAGGATTTTGCAAGGCTGCTGTTGCCAAGCTTTTCCTTTATGTGTGAGGAAGATTTGATAGGTGGATTCTACCCTGAAGTGTAATTGGTTGAGCTGTTTCTATGGTTAGTCTGAACTTCATTTGATTGGTAAATTCCAGGAGTAGGCATCCATTAAATTCTCAATGAATTGAAATTACTGAAATTTCAAACTACTAAAATCTTCCAGTGCTGTTATTTAAAACCCTTATTTTCTGTTTTAATCATTGACTATCTTTAGATCCCATTTTGTTTATTACTATAATTGCTAATCACATTTTCCCCACTAATTTTAAATATAGAAATATTATTGATATTCTCAAGCATTGATCTAAAGCTGCCAATTTTGTTTTGTAGTTAGAGTTAGCAGGGCTATGCTTGAAGAACACACTATACTTGAAAGTCCAACATTGTTGAGCTTAAGTGTCTGATAGAGCTTTGTAAATTGATTACTAAACAGTCTGAGTAAAAGACTATTGTTTTTTAAAATTCATGTCTAAACTTCCACATTGCTGTTATTAAGGTGTGTGTTTTATATTTGTCAGTAAATGTGGTTGTATTGGTTTGGAGCAAAATGTTCAATTCTGCTGCCTGTAGTACTCTTGCATTAGGTAGCTCTTTATTGGAAGAGTAATCTTTGTTAGAAGTTTATTTTGTTTGTGTTGCTTTTTTTATACATCAGTTCTCTTAAAGATACAGAGATGGAGAATTTGCTAATGGAAATAGGGCAATAGAAGAGAGCAGTTGAAATAGAATTCCAAAAGTCACTATTTTTGCCTTTAGAATTACACAGTTTACAACTTTTCTAATACAACTAAATGAGGAGGGGAGGTAGTCCAATGAGGATGGGAGAGAATTTAGTCTAGGTTTGCCATAGATAATCAAGAATTCGCTAACTTGAAATTTAGCCTTTGCCCCTAATATCTGAGAGTTTGAACTGAGGTATGTTAAAAATGGACATTGGTGGTTTGAAGTGGTGGAAGAGTCAGATATTGAATATACTCAAAATGTTGTAAATTAACATTTTCTTCCAGTTATAAGATACTTTTTCTTTTGCTGTTATCAAAATTACGTTCACTGGGCTATAAATTAATGTGTCAGTCTTTAATTCCCATCATAGCCTTAATGTTTAGGAGACTTTGAGACACTAGCAATAGAATTAGAAATATATGAGTCATGGTTAAATTCCCTATGAGTATTGACTCTTCTCCCAGAGCTGACCAGACACAACTCTATAAAACCTATAGCCAGGTTGTAAGATGGCAGTGAGAGGCCCAGCTGCTACATGCCACATTTGAGTCGTACTAGGGGAGCCAGTAGATCATTATTCCACTCTTAAATGGTCTCAGAATTGCAGGACCTGTTGGCTTGTCCATATAGCAGCTCATAGTGCTGTGTTTTGCAGAAGCCTTCTAGATTTGCATAATCCTGAGATACGCTGGGTGAAACAAAAAAGAAACTAATTTCTTTCTTGAGGAACTTCAGTCCTAGTATCTGATGTGTGGTGCGAACCCGTAAGAGTAGGCAGGCTACAGTATGCTGTGTTTCCTAAATTTTTTACCTATTTCTAGAGTATCCCAAGAATTAATCCCCAAACATTAAGGACTTTTGCTTTTAATATATTCTTTGGAATAGGTAAGATACACGGAACTAATTGCATAGAAAAGATGCAAATTTCGGGAATTCCCTTGTGGTCCAGCGGTTAGGACTCCGCGCTTTCACAGCTGAGGAGCTGCATTCAATCCTTGGTCAGGGAACTGTCCTGCAGCCACATATCCTGGCCAAGAAAAAAAAGGAAAAGATGCAAATTTCAGTTAGGGTTAGAGGTCTCTGTTAAGTAATTTAAGGGCATTAAAAGATGGCTAGTGTACAAGGCCATTATGATTGCCAAGGCATTAGGAGTTCAAAGTTACCTGCACCTGGGAACCAGGGGCAGGAGGAGTGTTTGCTTTCTCCTTCATGGAGTAATCTTAGGTAGTCCATAAAGGGGAGGTAAATAAGACTTAGCTCTTGATAACAAATGCTGCAGAAAGACATGTAGGGATAGTAAACTTTAGGTGAAACAGATTTTTATAGAAGAGAGATTAGGCTAAAAAGAATGAAGATATAAATGTAGGAAATAATTTTTTTCATAAGATGGAATAACGTAAACCATTTGAATTAATTGTTGCTGTGTTAGTTCTTTTAAAAGCAGAATCTCAAGTTTTATTGGCAAAGTCAAAATGTTTGTAAAAAGCAAAACTGGTTCTTCCCATCTCTGTATCTTGTGTGTTATGTAGTATTGTGGGGCTTGAATTGCTCAAGTATTCTGTGTATTTCCCTTTTAGTTTTATTACCCAGAGTTTCCAAAATGGATATAATTTTTTTAATTAGGACAAAAATAGCAATTACAAAAATCTGTTTTTTTCCCCTAAATATATCTCGAACAGAGAAATAACTTGCTTATAGAGAAGCCAAATATCGTCTTTCATTTAGTGTGTTCCTAATCTGCTGAAACAGTTGGACTGATGACTGGTAAAACAGTAGGTTCATTTCAAAATGAGTAAGCAGATGTTTTAACCTAGACGAAAGGATTCTTCAGCTTTTCAGACAGCTGTAAGATGTGCTAACAATTTAAGAGTTAATTATAAGTAGAAGCTCCCGTTTTTTCCTCTTTACATGCCAAGTGTTGGTGAATGATTCATGTAGCTACCAGTTTTTGAGTGAAAGTAGGGATAAGAAGATGCCTTCAGAAAAGTCTTAAGAATATCATGAGAAAAACCAGGGGGATCAATGTTAATGCTGGGAGGTAGCAAAAATGCCATTACAGATAGGGGTGCATAGAGGAAGGTACAGTTAGTGGGGGGCATGGGGGCATATCTCAGCAAAGTAGGTCAATGTATATAAGTAAGACACAAATCTGGTGTGTTCTGGGACCCAATAGCACTCTAGTGGTAAAACTGAGGTGTTAAAGGAAAGGTAGATGAGGACCATATGATGGAAACCAGTGGTCAAACAGATATAATGAAGTGTGAGTAAGATTCAGAAAAAGGAGGACACAGCAGGGTAGGAGAGTATATTACTTTGGATTAGATACATGATTCCATTTATCTTAGGATGAGAATGAATGTTAGAATTTAAGTTGGATTTTTTGCTTTACTCAAGACACATTTCAGTTTACTAAAAATCACATATAACATTAAAATTAAACTTTTTTAGTAGTGAAATTATTTGACTTGTATTATTTGATAAAGACTTGAGTTTTCACTTTCATAAGCTGCCTTTCAGCCTCGTCGCACAGATATTAAAATGTAAGCATTTGGTAAAATAGTCAACATCTTCTGAAGTAGGTTTTTAAAGGGCTCAAAAACCTCATCTTTTTAACTGATACAGATGTAACTTAACTATTGATAATATTTTTTTCTTTATTCCTGTTGTAGGAGGCAAGTGAGGCCTATCTGGTTGGCCTTTTTGAAGACACCAACCTGTGTGCTATCCATGCCAAACGTGTAACGATTATGCCAAAAGACATCCAGCTAGCACGCCGCATACGTGGAGAACGTGCTTAAGAATCCACTATGATGGGAAACATTTCATTCTTTAAAAAAAAAAAAAAAAAAAAAAAAATCTCTTCCTGTTATTGGTAGTTCTGAATGTTAGATTTTTTTTTTTTCCCCGTGGGGTCAAAAGGTACCTAAGTATATGATTGCAGGTGGAAAAATGGGGGACAGAAATCAGGTATTGGCAGTTTTTCCATTTTCATTTGTGTGTGAATTTTTAATATAAATGCGGGGACATAAAGCATTAATGCAAGTCAAAATGTTTCAGTGAACAAGTTTCAGCAGTTCAACTTTATAACAATTATAAATAAACCTGTTAAATTTTTCTGGACAATGCCAGCATTTGGATTTTTTTAAAACAAGTAAATTTCTTATTGACTGCAACTAAATGGTGTTTGTAGCATTTTTATCATACAGTAGATTCCATCCATTCACTATACTTTTCTAACTGAGTTGTCCTATATGCAAGTACATGTTTTTAATGTTGTCTGTCTTCTGTGCTGTTCCTGTAAGTTTGCTATTAAAATACATTAAACTATACCTGCTTTTGGTCTTTACTATCAACCTTATCTGTACAGTTAACTTACTTGAAATTTCCATATTCAGAATAATTTTAGTATCAAGTGTTTTGTCACTTTTTATCTGAAACTGTTGAGAGAGGAGGAAAGTATAAGCTTTGTATGGGAAGGAAACTGGAGCTACTGGCCTTCCTCAAATTTTTAAAAATTTGAAGATGGTATTTCTATTTTCCAAAACCAGAGTTTGACTACGGATATGTGTACTTTTAACCAGCAGTTCCCAAACCTAGCTGCCCAGCAGAATCACATGAAAATAGTTAAATCTGTGTAAGTAGTGAAAGTACATATATAAACATAATCTGTTATTAAACTTTGAATATTTAATGGTAATTTAACTGCAAATGTAACAGTCTTCAGTTCAAAAATTAGTGCATCAGAGAGCTGGCTATTTTAAGATATTGTATATTAACCCTGAAGTTATTAATCAAGCACCTATAGTTCATTCTTAGCACTGTGTTTTATTTAGCATTGGGGTGATTAATGTGAAATGAGGATGGTGAACCTTTTAAGACTTACAACATTTCTTATTAGAGAAATGCAAATCAAAACTACGATGAGGTATCACACCAGTCAGAATGGCCATCATTAAAAAATTGTCTACAAACAATAAGTGCTGGAGAGGGTGTGGAGAAAAGGGAACCCTCTTGCACTGTTGGTGGGAATGTAAATTGATACAGCCACTATGGAGAACACTGTGGAGGTGCCTTAAAAAAACTAAAAGTAGAATTACCATATGGCCCAGCAATCCCACTACTGGACACATACCCTGAGAAAACCGTAATTCAAAAAGAGTCATGTACCACAATGTTCATTGCAGCACTGTTTACAATAGCCGGATCATGGAAACAACCTAAATGCCCATGGACAGACGAATGGATAAAGAAGATGTACATACGCACAACAGAATATTACTCAGCCACAAAAAGGAACAAAATTGGATCATTTGTAGAGACATGGATGGACCTAGAGACTGTCATACAGAGTAAGTCAGAAAGAGGAAAACCGTATGTTAACATATATGTGGAATCTAGAAAAATGGTACAGATGAACTGGTTTGCAAGGTAGAAATAGAGACACAGATGTAGAGAACAAGTATGGACACCAAGGGGGGAAAGCAGGCGGGGAGGGGGTGGTGGTGTGATGAATGGGAGATTGGGATTGACATATATACACTAATAGGTATAAACCAGATAACTAACAAGAACTTGCTGTGTAAAAAAGTTCAAAACAAGGGGGCTTCCCTGGTGGCGCAGTGGCTAAGAATCCACCTGACTGGGACATTGGTTCGAACCCTGGTTGGGGAAGATCCCACATGCCGCGGAGCAACAAAGCCCGTGTGCCACAACTACTAAGCCTGCGCTCTAGAGCCTGTGTGCCTAGAGCCCGTGCTCCACAAGAGAAGCTGCTGCAATGAGAAGCCCACGCACCACAACAAAGAGTAGTCCCTGCTTGCTGCAACTAGAGAAAAGCCCATGCGCAGCAACAAAGACCCAACGCAGCTGAAAATTTATTAATTAAAAAAAAAAATTCAAAACAAAAACAGACACATGCTCCCCCAGTGTTCCTTGCACCGTTTACAACAGCCAGGACATGGAAACAACCTAAATGTCCACCAACAGAGGAATGGATAAAGCAGATGTGGCACATATATTCAATGGAATATTAGCCATAAAAAGGAACGAAATTGGGTCGTTTGTAGAGACGTGGATGGACCTAGAGGCTGTCATACAAAGTGAAGTAAGTCAGAAAGAGAAAAACAAATATTGTATACTAACGCATATATGTGGAATCTGAAAAAATTGCTATAGACGATCTTATTTACAAAGCAGAAATAGAGACAGATGTAGAGAACAAATGTATGGATACCAAGGGGGAAGGGGGGTGGGATGAACTGGGAGATTGGGATTGACATATATACACTATTGATACTCTGTATAAAATAGATAACTAATTAGAACCTACAGTATAGCACAGGGAACTCTGACATTAGTTGTAGCATACGAGTGAAGCTGCTCTGGAAGTGAACTGAGATGTATTAATCAATGGGCTAAGAACAGATTCATGTCAATACGATATAACATTGGGCTTATAAACATTGATGTTAAGCTCCTTTTTAGCAGTAACTTCATTTTTAGATTTTAGGTCATTATAAAATCACTGAGAAATATAAGATTTTTTGAGAGCCTGTTTCTAATTTGTTGATGTGGTATCCTAGTTTTAGTGTGATCGTTTGTATAGGCTTCTACAGGCAGGCACTAGTATTACTTGGAGTATTGGCAGGAGCATATGTTCACTGCAGTATAAGCTACCAAGAGCCAATTGAAGTATGTTTGATACAAAATAGATGAACTTGGCACTCAAAGCAGGTACACAGATGTCTGGTCAATGTACTGAGCTTGTCTCAGTATACCATGGTCTGTTAATACTTGACATGTATTCTCTTGTTCCTATAAGGTAGGTAACTCTTTCCTACTTAACTAAAGAGGCAATGAAATTTGGGAGGATTATTCTTATTTGACTAGGGTCTAAACAATATTCATAATTTTGAGGTCAGGGTTATTCTTTGACTTAGATATGAGTGTGATCTGCCACTCCCATTGATGCTTATTAACCTCCTGGGCTGAAAATCCTCTTACCTGCTATGCTTTGGAGTTGGCTACCTGAGAATTTACCTAGGAAAAATCTATAGTGAATTAGAGTTGGGCCCAAAGTGATATGTGGGGACCGTAGCTAAACTCACCACTCGTTATTAAGTTCAGTTTTTAACATCTGTAACAAGGTGGTAACCAGCTTTTGAATATGAAGTATCCTATGAAAATAGCTGATTAATACGTAAAAGTTTCCAGAAAATATTCCTAAAGTCTAAGACAAATTTACAGATGAAAAACCCTATGAACTCATGTGGTAAGATAAAAAACTTTAGATAAGGTTTTAGGGAAATCAGGGAATGCTGGAAGAACTTCTAGGAAGGAATTTGGAAATGTCATTCTCTTAGGCAAACGAGGGGAGGAATTCTTGGCTAAATACCGCCAGGTGGGTTAGTGCTTGACCAATGTCCAAGCTCTTGCCCTTCTCACCTTGACAGCCTAGAATCTGAGAGGAAGTCAACTTTGCACATTTGAATATATCGAGGATCTGCTAGGTGCTGAGTATGTAAAGGTATAAAGCTGCTCCAATGTAAATTCTCAACTCTGTAAGGTGGGTGCTATTATATACCCTATTCTACAGGTGAAACTTGCCCAAGATCGCACCGTAAATAGAGGGGATGGAATTTGTTTCCCGGTAGACTAAATCCAAGGCCTTGCTCTCTAATTCCCATGCTCTAAGTGTGAGACATACAAATAAGAGCAGTTAGTTTGTCGGGGGCACTAGAAGTTAAGGAAAGTCTTGACAGTAGAAACAAATGGGGGCCAGAGGAGACAAAATTGGGAATGAGAGGGACAGATTATAGAAATTACAAGAAAACTCTTCATTTGAAAACATGCTGCTCACCACCTGCTCAGTCTTGAGCTACCCCCTTGATTCCTCCCTCTTCCTCACCTCCATTAAATCCTGTTGACTTTCTCCGAAAGTGCATCCAAAACTTTGCACTTACTTACTCCTTCTACCATCCTAGTCCGAGCTGCTATCAGCAGCTAAGTTATGGACTATTGCCATAACTTAAATCAGTCTGCATTCATCCACTCATTCCCTCCGGCCTCTTCACACAGCCCCCAGAGAATGTTTCTAAAACATAAATCATTTCAGATCATTTCCGCACTTAAAAATATCTAGTGACTTCCCATTGCTCACAGAGTAACATCTAAACAGGCTCATGAGGCAGGCCCTGCGTGATCTGGCCCTGTCAATCTTCTCTTCCCACCACTTGCTTATTAAGCTGTAGCCAAACCCTCTGCCCACATACCCTTTGTCACATCCCTTGGCTTTATTTCCTTATTTATCAAAATCTGAAATTACATTACATTTTTCCTGACTCTATCCCTACTAGAATGTGCTACAAAACAGGGGTTCATTGTCTCCTCCATTGTAGCCCCAGTGCTGGTACATAGTAAACCTAAATAAAAATCAGTTGCATTCATGCTAGAATGAATGTCTTGCTGTCCTTCAGATTTTAACATTAAGCTTGTATAACCTTAAAATATAGTAACTGATTTATTGTTTTGAAGATTAAGTGAAAACGTGAGGCTTGGCACATAATATTCAATAAATGCTGGGCTAGAATTTTAAATTCCGGTAAATCAAGTCAGCATACATATTGTTTCTTGCAAAGTTGTAGAGAAAAATGCCTCCAACTTCCTATCTTTCTAAGTAGTACGCATTTTCTATTAAAACCCTGCTGAATAGTTATCATTCTTATGCCATTAAGCATAGATGTCTAAGTGAAATAGAATTTAGGTAACACCCTTATCACGACAAAGTCAGTTGAATCAGTAAGTACATAACTAGTGGTGAAACCATAGGTTAAGAGGCATTCTCTTAAAGTCATTATGAGTACTTTTTTCACCATTATCACTAAACATTCTTTGGAAAGTTCTAGTCAACGAGAAAATGTATTTTTTTAAAGGAAATAATTATTTGCAGTATAGCTTCATAGCTGAGTTCCAGCTCTGGGACTTTCCTGGCTGTCCAGTGGTTAGGACTCCGGGCTTCTACTGCCGTGGCCTTGGTTTGATCCCTGGTCAGGGAAATAAGACCGCGCAAGACCAGCAGTGCGGGGGGTAGTTCAGGTCCACTCGATGCCTTGTTCATTCAGTATTTATGGAGCCAGGCACAGTATTCCATGTGCCAGGCACTGTTGAAGGAATACTGAA